ATTTGAATTATTTTTTGATTGAATTTTCAAATGATTAACAATGAGTTTAAATAAATTTAGTTTAATCTTTTCCCAGAATTGGTTTACAGTTTTGTTCATTTACAATGTAAAAATGTAAAAATTTTGTATCGGCATTTTAATTTACATCTACTCAAAACATTTATTTTGTGGCCAGTATAGAAGGGGGCTAGATTAACTCTCCCTTAAATTAAATTATTTTCAAGAATATTTAATTTAACTAAATAAAATGCAGGAATTATAATTACTTGAGCACCAGAATCTAATTTAAAATTTATTTCTGTCCCATTGTGAACAAAATTTTTAGCGTACCAGTCATTTTTATCAAATAAACTAATGCAATAAATAAAAATATTATCATCACATTGATAATCTATTAAATTTACAGACTTTCGAAAAATGTTTTTTTTTTTTAAACTTTATGCACTGTTTTTCATATGCCGGGCATTGATTTCTACCGTGTGATATACCGCACTTGCAACATTTAAATTTTGGCGCACTGTTGTTTTGATTGAAGCTTATTCGCTGTGTGCAAGATGTTAGCACTCTCTGGTGACGGGCTAGCGAGAGTTCTCCTCATTCATTCCCGCATACTTGCTATACACCTCACAATCAGCAGTTGAACTATTTGACCATCCTCTAATGTATCTCGAGTTCCATCATCTAACTTGAATGATGGTTCAAGAACTTTTTTCCGGCGTAAAACAATTGTACAGTTTATCTCGTCTATTTTCCGCTTCATAAAACGAGCATGTCTGCAATAAAAACATATTATCCTGTGTTTTATAGAAACCTCTATGAATTTAATGAGTTAACATTTTAATTGAAGTATACCTATTCATGGCTGCGATTTGATTTGCGCTTTTTTTCGGATCTGACCAAGGAAATATTGTCGGTACATAACTTGGGCTACTTTCTTCTTCTCGTTTTTTATTTCCAATAAAATGACTACTGCATATATAATCATTCCGTTTTGGCACCCAAGGTGAACCATCAGCGCTGTGGAAAAACCATTAAATCTATTACTTTATAAATAATTTATTTATCACTATTACTTGAGCATTCAAATACCGCTCCTACTTTCGATGTTTATGATATATATACGACAGAGGTTATGTTACTCACTTTATCTTTTCACAGCTGCTATCCATTTCTTTCTTTGCTCCAATTTATGTGATGCGGTTGGAAACGTATAAGACTTACACGCACTATTTTTGCTAGTGTTTTTACACTCGACAACAGTACAATAACGACGACTCATTTTAATACCCAACACGAGACCCACAACACGCTGCCGCGCTGCTACTATGATGTGGACAATCGCCGACTCCTGCCACCATAGGCGCTGCGATAGCTCAATCTATCCCCTCCAAGCCAAATGCACACAGCGAATAGACGCGCGCACAATTTCACTTCTCTCTTTCTGACCAAAGTTCCTGTTTCTAGAAAAAGAGGGTCTAAAAAAGGATGGATTATATTCACAAACATTTTTAAAATTTAAATGTTGTTTACTGCTCTGAATAGCGTGTTTTGTTATACGGTCAACTTCTTTATCTACTGAAACATGATTTAAACTAGTAATTTTTTCTATTTGTTCCTTGTTTTTTTCAGAAGTTCTACAGATATCAATTCCTTTGTTTAAAGTCAATTTTTTAGTTCTAATTTATTTATTTTGTAATTCAGGATCTAATTTTAGACCTAAAATTAACTTACTTGTTATTAAACTGTCTGTCAGGTCACCAAATTCACAGGAAGTATTTAAATCTCTGAGGTCTGGTATATAATTGGCAATAGTTTCATTTTCTACCTTGTCTCTGGTTAGAAAAATGTGACGTTCGTAGGTAACATTTTTTTCCTGATTAAAGTAGTCATCAAATTTTATTATTATCACATCATAATCCATGTTCGTTTCATCTTCTGTGTATTGAAAATTATTATACACTTTAAGGGCTCTGTCACCAACACTAGCTAGAAGTAAAGATGACTTGTATTCCATATCTTCTTTCTCAGATTTAGTTGCTTTCATATACAGCATAAATTTGTTTGAAAAATTTCTAATTATCCCCAAGAGAACCTTCCCAAGACATCGGTTCTGGTTGATTTATAGGAATAAAATGTTGATGCACTATTTTTTCTGACAAAGTTTGTGGCTGAATTATTGTTTGCGGAGGGGCATAGCCTCCTAAAATTAGTTTTAGGTGACTATATGGGAGGGGTCATACTGTATAAACACTCTTTATATTTTTATTTTAATAACTAACTTCACTATTTAAGTTTACGTAGGTTTTTCTAAAGAATGTTTAGTTTACTTCAAATATCCTTTTTTTTTTCTTTTTTCATTGCGCCATGTTATCATTGAAACAACTATTTAGAAACTGAAACTTTATTTGTCGTCTTTACGTTTTACAAGAAATATAAGAAAACGTTATAGTCCGGGAACTATTGCTAATATATTAAGTATACATTTATAGTCCAGACATTAATTTAAAATAATATAATTAAATTGAAATAACATTATTACAGGGATCGACCTGATGTAAATTATCCGGTCAGATGTCAAAAGGGCACTTTTTTAATCCTCCGATTTGTAAATATTAGCTACTTCCACTCTGAACCACTCGGAAACCGATCTAGTACATCTGTAAAATATAAAGCCGGGCTCCCCGCGAATTCTCTCTCTTTTCAGTTCCGAATTCTTACTGAGTAGACCGTGACAGTAATACCGTCGTCTTTTTTTTTATTTCCTTCATCTGTGAAATTATAGAAATCTTTCACTATTAACGTGTCTATTAATATTTATTTTATTGTTCTCTTGATCGACTGTTGCTCGTTAAATATTAGCAAAGAAATAATTTGTTATATTCCGAGAAAATTGGTCTTTGCTAGGCCCGCATTTTATATCGTTTTAGGATTTCTGAACTTTCGTAAGAGAGACCAGTCCATCAATATTGCAGTCTAGTTTCAACGATAGAACTTCTTAAAGCCGAAATATTAATTAATTTCCCTCCTTTGTACGAATGTACGAAATACCGTTTTCTGAAAGTACACCATTAGTGCAGTCTTATTTCGTCGACTTAATTTCTCAACATCCAAGGTTCCCCGAGACAATAGACCCTTAATTACTCCGGCAATGAGTGAAATCTCTAATTCACTACATATCGTCGATCACTTTGCCGTTGCCCCCTTTATCCGTCACTGTATCAACTGTAGGAAACCGCATACCTTTGAAAATAATATTTTAATCGGGGATAGACAATTAAAATAGGTGAATTTTAACGAAGCTTAATTTTTCCGAAAATCCGACCATAATCCCTGAGTTAACACTGTTCGGCTAGCGCCGGTTTTTTTAATGTATCGTGAGTATTGCTTCTTGTTGGGGAATGTCGATCGAAATAAATAGATTTAGGATAACAACGATAGTCCTCAGATGTAAATAATTCCGTCACATTAAGTATATTATTAATTAGCTTTTAGTAGGAACCTACGTGCAACCGTATTACTTACATTTAATTTATAGGCAAAAAGCAATAATATAAAGGGAGGGTTCCAAAAATTATTTAAACTTGTGGATTCGATTCTTTTATTTATGTATTCCTCGAAGCTTTCCTTTTGTAAATATACATATATTCTTAAGGTTTATTATGCTGTTAATTAACCTGGAGGCTTCACCGCTGATAAGTTTTATTGCCTTTTAATGGTATTTACTTCTACGAAGTTTTAATTTGGTAAATATATTGTCATTTATTTTCTAATTTTGTTTATATAAACATTTTCACCAGATTAATTTAGAACTTTTCACCGTTTATTAGGAATTTTCAACAAATTATACTGTTAATTAAATTAGACCTCTTCTCCGCTTATTAAGAATATCTGTCTTTACTGATTTATATTTATTATCTTACTTTTTTTTATATAAACATTTTTCATTACATTAATCACGCTTTTAATTCACTTAGAGCTGGTGGTGGATAAGAACCTTCTTATGTCCATTGTTTGGACTGTTTTTTGGTTTCGGGAGTATAATGGTGAGCCCAAGTTTCCTCGACGGTTATGAAACGCTGCAAAAAGTCCTTCCCATAGAATTGTGGCGAAAACGTGTCAAAAGGTCGCAAGAAACTCAAACGACTCAGTTTTTGCTTCGGTGTGAGCAATCGCACAGAGTATTTTTTCATTTCCAATTCTTCAGTTAAAATTCTTGTGCACACTGTCATTTGAGATACCACCTGTCTGCTATCTTGTTCATTTTTATTCGACGGTTATCCAATACGATATGATGGACTTTTTCAATCATATCCGGAAAAGTAGCGGTTTTTGGACGTCCACTACGGGGTTCATCATTTGTGCTCATACGACAACGCTTAAATTCGACAACCCAGTTTTTAACCATTGAAAACGAAAGAGGTGATTGCACCCAGCTATACTTAGATTTCAGTTGGTGTTAAACCTTTCAAAAGAATGTGCTCTCAACTCAGTTTTTTCCATTGCTTACAAAATCACACGAGACGTTCACTTTGACGTACACTCAAAAAGAGATTGACAGATCGCACTTTATACTTTCATATTAAACATATTAAAAGATGATTCTGGTAAAGAAGAATCCTCCGAATTAGCTCAATTTCTGTGTTTGGCCTTGTAGTTACCGAAAAATCTTCGTAATATTAATTAGATTAATTTTCCAAAAATGTTTTAATTGCGGCCACCAAATGGGTCTACTATGATACAAAAAAATGTATATTTTAGTGGTCAAATATTTTAATACATTTTTATTATAGATTATACCTGTCACCTTTCAGATTTAGTCAATTTGTAGCAGAAGTTAGAAAAATAAGCGTAACAGAAAAAATAGAAATCACACAAAGCAAGAGAAAAGAACACAAAAACTATAAAGAAAAAGAACAAGGAATCAGACAATAGTTAAAGAAAACTAAGAGTAAAAAAAATTATAAAAAAAAAAAACAAAAAAAAACAAAAAAAAATCATACCTTTCTACAGGCTTAACAGTCAGCCCATCGTTCGCAGAATGACCAGACCGTAGCGAACCCAACGATGTAGTACGGACTTCGGGCAGACCCTTGAATAGAGGATTAGGAATTGTGGGGACTTTAAATTGATTAGGTGGACTTCGTCTATCCTTGGGACTGTTTTGCTCACTAACGCTCTTCCTTTTAGGCCTAGGTGTCAAGAACGAAAACAGGCTATCGGTACTGAAAAATTTACTGCTAAAAGTTTTTTCCTGAGACACCGTAGGCATGCGGGGTATCTCAAAGTCGCTTTTACAACGCAATACCTCATTTTTTCTGTTCTTTTCTATCTCATCCAGACTGAGTCTGTTATCACTTAAAGGTGATCGTTTATAAGTTTCATCGGATTTTCTGTTTTCAATATCTACTACGGCCAAGAAATTCGTCTTGATCCTTTCTACGACACTAGTAGATGATGATTTTTGCAGCTGATTAAAATTCTGCGAAAATACATCAGTTCTATGATTCATAGTAACTTCGGGAGTTCTATAGTCGTCCGTACTGGAATTGCTCACATAACTGAATTGACTTTGAAAAGACTTAGGTGTTCCATATATAGAATTATTTTCTTCTGATTCTTTACTGTTTTTTACTGGGGTGGAAGTGATAATGTTTTGTGATTTTGTTGAGAAAGGAGGTGAGGGCGACGAGAGAATCGTATTGGGGATGTTTATTTTGCGGGGGTAGGTGTTTGGGCGGAATAATGGAGGGTTTTTTGGTTTTGGGTGTGCCCGAACCGATCTGCTATGTAGGTCCCTAATATAAACAAAAAATTGAGTGTTGCATGCAGAAACAGTTTGTGTTTGTGTTTTTAAAATAAATTTATATACACCATGGTTAATACTCAGTGTTGTTATAATTATAATATATATGAAAAAGCAGTTAGCCGAATATTTTTTATGAAAATGGGATATGAACCAAAAGATAAAATAAACTTAAACCAATTTTTAGCAAAGAAAACTTTTAATTCTTTCATTTTTAATATAATTATTAAAAAAAATTGCAATAAATACAAGTTTTCTTTACTTATCGTGCACACAGCCGTTAACCTATTATGGTTTCATTCAAACCAATTTTGTTTCGTATAAAGTGTACCTGAAATATAAGTCTCTGCCTTAATAACTAGCTTAATATAAAGGGAAGAAGGTCGGTTAAAAAAGGAATGTTTTAGAAAATTTGATGCTGATCTAGTAACCGTTTTCAAAACTATTAAAAATGGCTTCTAAACCGTTATTTTGACATGTTCTATCCCAAAGTGTTAAATGTAAATTGTATTTTGTTTTCGGGTTACCTAACGCAACTTTGTTACTTCTTATAGCGACCATCTTGAATTTTTACATATTATCCAAATAAAAACAGATATTACTTAAATAAAAATATTATCCAATATTAAACTAATGCACTTTCGTGTATCACATGCTATTTTAGATAGATGCGATGTTACCAAATTAAGGAAAATATTAGTTTTTTTTTTTTAATTAATTAAAAAGTTGGATGGCATGTAGCACATCGTTTAACAAGAGGGTTATAATATTATACAAAAATCCAAGTGGTCGTCACAAAAAAAATAACAAAGTTACCGTAGGTAACTCAAAATACTAAACTAATGTACTTTCGTGTAACACATGCTATTTTAGATAGATGCGATATTACCAAATTAAGGAAAATATTAGTTTTTTTTAATTAATTAAAAAGTTAGATGGCATGTGGTACATCGTTTAAAAAGAGGTTAATAATATTATACAAAAATCCAAGATGGTCGCCATAAAAAATTTAACTCAAAATACGAAAGTCTGCCATAAAAAGTATCTTAAGAATGCATTGAGATGGGCTAAAGACAAGATGCTATGACGATATTAAAAGTGTCCGCACCTTTGTATGATACTTTTATGTCATGTGTCAAACTCGAGCTAGTGGAGCTAGTCAGTTTTGGTGAGAATAAATGCCCATTTTTATAAATATTATAAAAACATTGTCATTTCGTTAATCTTCAAATATAAAATTAGTATCAAATTCCCTAAAACATTCCCATTTAATTTTATAATATCAAGCGAGATACCAATATAGAGACTATTTCGAAACACACTGTACATCTAAAATTTTAAATGTATTATTTTTCACCCATAAACATGACCTGGAAGTTCGAAAGTATATTTGTATTCAGTGAAACTTTTCTGTTTGACTATAATGTATCGTCGGTATACTTCCAAAACCTGTTAACTGCATTTATTATGGTTTTGAGAAAATCTATTTTTAAAGTTTGTCTTTAAAATAATACCAGGTCAGCGATCTGATTTTATAGCAAATAAAATTTTGAAATAATTGTTTAAAAAAAACAGACTTAAAAATGCGAGAAGGAAGTAATATACAGTGTGTCTACGTAAGTTGGCTAAGTACATATGGGAAACTTTTTTATTATTAGTTTTATGAAAAAAATGTATTCTTCATAAAAAAAACTGTGCATGGTCTAAAACCTAAAATACAATCATCAGATATCAAATTCAAGTCGTAACCGAAGTTTGTCAAAAAAAAAAAAAATGATTATTGTCAAGTACATTCATTTTTGACAAACCTTGTATAGAAATAAATTTGATATCTGATGGTTGAATTTTAGGTTTTAGACCATGCACAATGAAGAATAAATGTTTTTCCTAAAATTGATAATAAAAAAGTTATTATCCATAAAAAGTTCTTCATGACATAAAACCTAAAATTATTTGATCAGTGGTATACGAGGTTTGTCAAAAATAAAGGTACTTTAATCTTAAGCAATATTTATATTTTTTGTCGCAAAAAATTAAATATCTGATGGTTGAATTTTAGGTTTATGCAGAGATTATGCAGAACTTATTATAAAGAATACATTTTTGTGATAACACTAATAATAAAAAAGTTTTCCATATGTAGTCAACTTACGTATACACTATAATAAAAAGTTAAATTTGCTATAATTATTAAGAAGGCAACTGTCATAATCATCACGACTAAATTTAATGTTGTTTCCTAAAAATTATTATTTTTACAAAGGATCACATTGATTTGAAAAACAGGTTGTTTCTTCAATAGACCTTTTCATCACACATTTAATGCGCATGCGTCAGTATCGGCTATCTTTTTCGTACTGTTTTTGTAAACAAGCATGATAAAATTTTCACGTGAGAAAAATTATATTCGATAAATTTTAATTTAGGTATAATTCATTTAAAAAAAGGAAGAAAAAGCAAAGTAATAATAGGTTTAGTGTCTTAATTGAAAAATACATTTTTGCAATCAATTATAATTATTATAGTATCTGTACCGAAAGGAGCAACAAAACGGTGTTGTTATGGAGTATGTAAAAGTGACACACGGTATAAATCATTCAAAGATAATACATATTATTTTATAAATTTTCCAAAGCCTTCGCTGCAATATCGTAAAAAAATATATCAAATTATCAGGCAAAATCCATATTAAAACATGTTCAAAAAGCGCAAAATGTGCATTAGGTGTGAAAAAATGTGGTCGAAGTGACAACGGTTTTCGATGGATTGATGATGTTACTAAAGATACTTATATTTGTTCACTACATTTTCATGGAGAAAGTGGTCCAACAGAAGAAAATTCTTATCTGTTATTACACAATATTTTTTTAATATTAAATATAACACAGTAATATGATTAAAAATGTCATGTTAATTAAAGTGTTTTTGCAAGTAATAATAGTTGATTGGCATAATTAATTAGAATAGAGTTATAATTATTATTTGATGTCATTCATTTTTTAACAGTTGATACACCTAACCTCCCAATCAGTCCACTTTTTCCTATGTAGCAAACATCCAAGACACTTCAACCACCTTCTCAACTGCTCACAACTATGCGCTTCCACAGAGTTATAAAAACAGTACGAAACTTTTGAATTACCACTATTTCAACATAGTGGCTGCGCTTGCGCTCATCACATGATAAAAAGGACTATTTAAAAGGGCATATTATTATTTCATTGAATTTTTTTTACATACTTGGTCGAAGGTCGTACTCTTAGAACGTACAAGTAAATTTTCACTTCAATATTGACACTTTTTTTTTATTTTTTTTTTTTTTTCATTTCCCAGTCTACGTACAACTCTCATGTCTTTCATAACCTTTAAATATTGAAAATTTTCAAAAACTTGTAGTTTTCGAGATATTTTATGTTGTTAAGTATAAGGGGTTAAGAAAAGGTCCTTTATTTCTCACACGTCAATTTCGTGTGAGAAATAAAGGACCTTTTCTTAACCCCTTATACTTAATCCCTACTACTCACATATGGCTACCCTCACTCCAAATATTTTATGTTGTTAGGAAGTCAGCAAAACCACTATTTGCTTCTGAAAGCAAAACATTTATATTACGAAAGCGAGGAATGGCGAATAGCTAACAATGTCTTAATACATTAAAAAATCAACAACCTTAACATTTTTGTTAAATTTTAGATAGAGGGAGAGATTTATTGACAGGTACATGCAGTGAGCACCATTTAGAAATAAGTTATATTTAATATACAGTGCGTTTAGAACAACGACAAAAAACTACTAGACTAATTTTGTTTATAAAAATCGAATTGCAAACATTCACGGTGTCCACGTAGTTGCCAAATTATTATGAGACAATAGTTTGAGAGGGTGTGTGTGAGAGTATTGTTACAATTATTGTTTATGGTTAATAGTTATAATTCGGTACTGACTAAACAGAGAAGTTTATTTGCATTCTTAATTCCAGTTATTATCAGTTTAATATATTTTTCTCATAACAACTATTATAATTTTATAATGTTGTATATAAGCAGCTGCCTCCTTCTTTCTAATGCTGCAGCCGATGTCACAGCTCAGTCCGCGTAATAATAAACACAATCTGAATGTTGCAATAAAAAAAAGCTTAATTATAAATGAATGGATTAGTCTAGTAGTTATTCGTCGTTGGTTCAGAAAGTGTGAAAATGTTGCATTATCTTACGAGTTATTATTTTCGCAGGTAAAGGTCGACTTTATATTTTATTTTATTATTTTTACCAGATGTGACGTCAATTTTTTTTTAATTGAACGGGTTTATTTTTATATCAAAAATTTAAAGTCCTTATTTTTCTGAATTCAACCATATCATATATGTCATATAATGAAACACTAATTTGCAGCATAAAGGAAACCAGTACTCATATTTCTTAACATTTATTTCATTATTTTGAAATGAAAACTTGAGAATGACTCAATAGTTAGTATGAATATTACCAAACCTCAAGTAGGCTATGAAAACATCTGAAAGTCCTTAGAACATTTCCACATTTTATGAACGTACTGTATAATTTCGTGTTTTCATTCATTTATAAAAGTTTTTAGTATCATAATTACACTGTAATTAAAGTAGCAATTTTCTATTTCAATTACTTTTACTGGATCGGAACTCTAGCAACATTTAGCAATAAGTATTTTATATTATACTACCATTTTATACTACTTTATAAATTTATGAACACAGGAATTCCAAAGGATGTTGCAGAACTTCTGAAGAAATTCCAAGACTACGGAAGAAAAAAAATTCAAAAAAATAAAATAATGTAGTTCGCATTCTATTATAATTTTGGAATTTTGAATCAACACTAAAAAATTAAAGATTTGAAAATTTATTTGCAGAAATCTAATGTGTGGAATATAAGACCGCAGTTATAAGAAATATAGAGGCTGTTTAACATAGTAATTTCCATTGCATTATATAGAAAACTATAAAAAAAACCTACGGTCAAAAATCATTCATATTAAAACGTCCTTTTAATTCATAAAATTACTATCATAACATAAACTTGTAATTTTTTAGATGGAACACCCTATATATTATCATAAATTTGTATTCAACAATATAGGTCAAAAGTCAAACGTTTCGAACTTATTAAAAATGATCTTCAGAAAAAAAGGTCCTTTGAAGACTTGAAAATGATTTCTTTCGAATCTACAAACGTCCAGATGGAACACAATTTTCAGTTTCTTTAATTTGAAAATCCGTCAATAGCATTTCAAGTTCAAGGATAGCGTTACAGGAAACATCATGCATTATTAGTTCGAAATTTAGAAATACTTACATAACGTTAAGAAAAGAAACAGATCACACCAAAAGACTAGATTTAAATTGAATTCTTGATATGTCTTGTTAATTTATGATAAATGGAATTTGTCCAATCAAGTTTATGGACCATTTACAAGAGGTCAATTGTGGACATTTCACTAAGCCAATCCAATGAGAAAGTAAAGACAATCCAATGAACATGCAATTGGCGTTTTACACGTATGCCAAGCCGAGTGCATATTGTTGTGGATGTGCAGAATGGTTAGGCGAATAGTTTTGAGGGCCAATTTTAATGTTCATCCTCCAAACATTTATAGGGGTGATACAATAGGTTGTACAAAATAACCGGAAAAAGACTAGACCGGAAAGTCATGTGTTTGACATATTAGATTTTTTTTTACATTTTGCTCGACATTTCGTCACATTTTATTTTTAAATATGCTCGTTTGAAGACAGTTTCATTATAATTTAATTACAAAACAAGTGATCAAAAAACTATATCAATCGGTAGCATTAAAAAAGCTGACTTTCATGTATAGGTAAATACATTTTACATAATTGATTGGTTATCAAGTTTTAACAGTATACCGGCGTTTAAATTAATTAATATGTATATAATTAAAATATTTTTCTAGTAATATACTTCTAGTAATATTACGCTTCATAATTTAATGCAGTTTTTTTTTTTAAATTTGTAATACAAATATATTTTCTAATTATTCACTACAGTATACCATAATTTTTCCCAAAAATAATTTTTTTTTTTTAACATTTATAAGGTCCGACCAATCCTATCTTTTTTATTCTCAGCCAAGACTGTTCTGTGGAGAATTATCATTAAAATGCTATAAATATATGCATTATGGAAATCAAATAAAATATGCTTTAATTATGTAAAAATATAAGAAACAGTTACATTTGCTAAAAGGTATAGATTTTTTAATTTGTGGGTTATTGTCCACGAAGATTAAACGTTTGTTTTATGTACCGGGTTACCCAATAAGAATAGCTACCGGTCATATATCAACAACCATTTATAGCAAAAAAATCAATGACAAAAGTGGCCAGGAGATGGCCTAAGTAAACACCAAACAGAAAAATGCGTATTTTATAAAAAATTTACCAAGGTGTTCTAAAAATTTCCAGAAAATTTCGCTTATTTTGCTAATATCATTTTCTCATACACTCCCCACACAAAATTCCGCCACCCTAAAATTTATTTTAAATGGATTATTTGAAAATAATCGATTATTCTTTTATTTTTTGTAAACACCGATTTATCGGTTAAGTGGCTTTTTAATTAATCGATTATTTTTGATTTTTTAAAGATAATCAAGTAGTCGATTTTAAAGGAAATACGACAAACAAAATATATTGTTTGAAAATAATCGATTGAACGAAAATAATTGATTATTTTCAATGATCGATAATTTAGTTCGATAATCACCCATCCCTAGCGACCAAATGACTTTTAATAGATTTAAATTTTAAAATGTTATCTGGTTTCAGACATATGCATTTCTAGAGTTTTATGTGACGCATCCTCTATAATAATTAATATTCCTAAAGAAAGAAGCCTTAATATACCTTTTTCTGAGGTTACAATACAAAACAGCATTTTCTCATTTTGACTAATTTTTAATATTATGTAATAGCCGTAGACAAAATATAATGTTCAACTCATAAGGTTAGATTTGCAGTATTCGCCTGCGCACATGCTTTTTTTATAATACTCGAAGACAATGAGTACCATTTTTTGCTTTATTAACAATATTCTATTTCAACATTTTACTGTAATCTCTTGCAGAAAAGTCCGTAGTAAATAAACATAAAATGTCGTGGCATCTGTTTGATATTAAAAAATCACGTTAATTTTATTTCATAATATAAAATTCCATTAAACATCTTTATGTTATATATCTGGTCTCTTTTATCTAAGGTAAAAATGCATTATCTCAAACACAATGTAACCACAATAATTAATGTACACAATTCATGTTTCCAATTTACAATAAATAAAATTTATTATATGCGTTTTCAAATCGACGTCGTTTTAGTCTACACTGATTTTATGTGAAAATAAGAAAAATATTAATGATTGATCAGCCCTTCAGATACATAAATATGAGTAAGCCCTCATCTACAACTTACAGGGTCAGCTCAAGCATAATAAGCAAACATTATCTTCGTGGACGTCAATAAAAAAAAATGGATTTTGTAGCCGAAAGTAACAAAGACTAAGATCTCGGTCGAACTTTAAAAATTTTGTTAGTTTAGGTTTATAATAAATGAATACCCCAATTAAATACATTAAAATTACTTTTAGTGGTATGTAATGTCTAATTTTGTTAAATTACCAAATTCTGAATTTGTATTTTCATTTAATAGAATAAGAAAATTATCACGTGCCACTAAATTGTTAGCTTTACTATTAAATTAGTTTAATGAAACCAATTAAAATTTATAATTATTTTAAATATTAGCACCCCAAGTATTCTGAATGAGTGTTATGTATCAAAAAAAAAACTTACCGTATATGCCCGGAATCTCCGGAACTACTCTGCCTACTATGAGAATGGGAGTGAATACTACTATACCCCGATGCTTTCGAGAGCTGGCTGGTGTTCGAAGAGTTTCTAGAGTGTCCAGTCTCGCAGAGGGACACCTCCTGTGGCTCGTGCTGATCCAGGTGAGGTAATGACGTGGGAACAGCGGGAGGATGCGATTCGTTAGAAAAATCTGAAGCTATTGATACGGGTACGTTGTTTTCGGTTAAAGTTTGACCTATTACTAATTCTGGAACAACAAAATATAAGATTTTAAATTTTTAAATAAATAACCCCTTAATGCGGCTATTAATGAAAATATCGACCAACTACACAAACAACGTGTTCTGGATATCAGACTCTTGAAAGCAAATTAATTTCATTTTTAACAGTTTAATTTAGTTTAAGAAAGTGAAGTAAGAAAGTCGGTTTAGATTCGAAAAAGTTAATGCAGATTTGAAAATTCTGGAAATGAAAAATCCCTAATTCCCCCTACGAAATTATGAAGATTACACCCTCATATTCCCAAAAGTGAAAAGAAACCAAAGAAATATTGAAAAAACTGAGAATTTAAAAAAGAAAAAAATGAATACGAGACCGGGAATCGAACCTGGAACCTTGGACTCGGGTCGTTCGTGCTATAACCAATTAAGCCACCTCACATATACGTGTAGATGTAAACTTAAAGCAATCAGATTCAGACTACCAACATTACCCACAAATTCTTCAACCCATCTCAGCTCAGAATTTGTGCGTAATGATGGTAGTCTAAAATGGTTACTTTAAGTTTACGCATTCGGACATTTACACGTATACGTGAGGTGGCTTAATTGGTTATAGCATGGACGGCCAAGTCCATGGTTCCAGGTTCGACCCCCGGTCTCGCATACATTTTTTCTTTCTTTAATTTTCAGCTTTTTCAATTTTTCTTTGGTTTGTTTTCACTGTTGGGAATATGAGTATGTATTTTCATAATTTCGTAGGGGAATTAAGGATTTTTTATTTTCAGAATTTTTAAATCTTAATTTAGTTTCTTGATATTATTTACTATTGTTATAGCAATTACATTGTGTCTGAACTGAATCATCATCACCCCCTCCGTCAAGCATGTAAAATTATTACCCTACGGTAACGAATAGTTAAATCAGCTATAAATTAGTTTTTATTGTAAACAGAAATATACAAAATCAGTGTAAACAATGTGTTTTTAGGCTAAACACTTTCTAGATTAAAAGCAATTTTGTATGTCGATTCCCATTTCTTATAGCATTCCCATTATTTATAAATTTGGCAACCTAACAAGCAAATAAATGCCCAATTATAAGTTTAAAAGAAAAATAAATTAAATTTTTACATTTTTACCAATGGAGTGGTTCACAAAAAATATTTTTAAAGTCTTCAAAATACTTTTTTATACAAATAAAATTATTGAACTCACTGGTTTCGGTCTATTTTGTGATTATACAATACGTCATGTTTCTCATCAATATTTTAATTTCCGATATTGTTAGATAACATATTACACTTTATTGCCAGGCGTTTGCGCTCGTTGCATTAAATGGGAATACATTATAGTAATTTAGGATATTAAAATTTAAATCAGTGCTAAGCTATTTTCATATGTTCCAGGGATATACACAGTATGTCCTATTAGACAGCATATGAATGGAAATTAGATACATCTATATGCTTGTTTAATACGAGTATTTATTTAAATGAACAATTTAAAAATATTGTTAAACAATTACAAAAACGAGTAGCTATGATTGGAAGCAGGGTCTGAATCAGTTGATCATTGCTTTGAAATGTAAGTGAACCAAATACTTGGTAATCGGTGGGGTTCAAATAACTATCAATAACAGTTAATACTAAAAATATTAATAATGCACATACAAGATTTATAATTAAAGCACTAGAAACAAAAAGGGCACCAGTTAGTCCTGTGTCAGTGGATGAAAGCCAGCCTAGAAATGGTAAAAGCATAATCTCCAGACGAAGCTACACTGACGTCTAAAGCAGGCAAGGCCTGCCCCCAAGGAGTACTATCCCCTCTTATTTGGTCATTCCTAGTGGACGAACTCATAAAAAGGCTAATATCTGCAGACTTCTACTGCCTAGGAAATGCCGATGACCTGGCGATTGTCGTAAGAGGCAAGTTCACACAAATCGCTCTAAACATCGTTGACGAGTGGTGCAGAATGGAGAAACTAACAAACTCTCACAAAACGAAAAGTACTGACAGGATTAAAATCATCAGTACTGAAAGAGGCCAAATACTTGGGTGTCATCTTTTACCACAGTTTAACATGGAATAAACACTTGCGAAAAGTTACCAATAGAAGCATAATATCCTTTAACTTATAACTAAAGTTGTGTGGAAAAAATTAAGGACTACAACCTAAAATGTACCTATAGCTGTATACCAGAGTCATAAGTCCTATGATAACCTACAAGTCGGTGGTATGGTGGTGACTTCGCAAGCTGAAGCCATTTGACAACTCAACGGTATTAAAAGGCAAGCATGCTTGAGTGCCACGGAAGCCATGGGAATGACTCCAACAGCAGCTGTAGAAGTCATGATAAACCTAACACCGCTACACATATTCACTCAAGACGAAGCCAGGTCATAAAGGTCCATTATACATAAGAAGACTGTATGGATATATAAAGTAAATATACCATACAGGAAAGCGTGGACCTTTTATTCACGCAGAATTCACCTGGTATACAGATGCTTCCAAAACCCATGTAGATTCAGGAGTAAATATATATGGTATCAAGCCGAAGACAAGAATCTCACTGATCTTAGGTAAACATGCTACAGTATTCCAGGCAGAAATAGCAGCAATACATCACTGGGCAAAAGAGGTATTAAGTCATAAGGTAAATGGAAAAACCATTGTCATATACTCAGACAGTCAAGCGACGTCAAATGCACTCAGTTTCGTGCGCAGGTCCATTTACAGCGTGTGTAGGTCACAGAGGATATAAGGGCAACGAAGAGGTTGATTTACTAGGCCAAGTAGGAGCCTTAAAGCTTGTTATTGGCCCAAAACCCTTCTGTGATGTCATAAAGACAGCTATCAGCAAACATGCACAAAGCAGTGGATGTTTAAAATATCTCAGGAATGGTGGAAAAATTCACCAGGACAGATAAAGGCCAAAGAGTTCTTAAAAGAAGCATCGCCAAAATGTACCGACCATCTACTAAACCACAATAGGAAAAATACTAGAGTACTAGTAGGCCTATTAGCAGAGTACTGTAGGCTTAACAAACGTATAACATCGGTCTGGTAAAAGAGACCATATGCCGGATTCTGAGATTCCTAACACTTGGAGAAGAAAAACCAAGGGCAACTAGCTACGCCGGAGAACTACTTCCTAGTCTATGGAGTCTACTACAAAAGACCAAACTAGACAAGGTACTCTAAACAACGATTAAAGGATATCCACAATAGATCTGAAAAGGTCGAGGTGGGTTAGGCCAAATGAAATCTCTTACCAATAGTAACTAATAGTTACCCTTTCACTGTTGAGTTCTAATTAACAGTGTTATTCCTAAAGTGGCGCTGGAAAATAGTAATAAAGCATACACGGAACACGAGACTAATAACCTTAGCAGTTGATGCCGATGGCACAAAAAAAAATAGATGAGTTATGAAATATTTATTCAGAAAAGATGTATGTAGTTTACACTATAAGAAACAAAATACGCTGCTAAGTCATTTTTGAAAGAATGGAAAATGTGAATTTGGGATTTGTAAGTATTTCAAATATTTGTCACAGTATTTAGTTTTTCACTTTTCATCGAAAAATCTCACTTAGAGAGGAGCATTATAATCTAAGCTACTGCTTGGATTTTAAATCATAGTTACCAAATATAAGATTCTTTAATAATTGCTATTTTTGTTCAATAATAACTATTTGGAAATTATCTTCAGCATATCATCAATTAAATATTATGGCTCTTCAAGGACCTAAATCAGCAAAATATTAAGTATCCTTCTGACTACAGTATTTTGTAATCGTATAATAAAATTGTATGGTCATTTGTCATCGCTTCTTCATTCATAGCATGTGCCATTCATTACACATATGTACCGAGGGCAGAAACAGTAGTTTGTGCAACAAGAGTTAGTATGATGACCACATCGCACGAAGACGAAGTTTCAATTGTCTGAGTGCGATACAGAAAATCCAGTCAAGTTGTACAGTATATTATTTCTACGATCCGCAGAAAAGTTACAAATTGCGGTGAAAAGTTTTTTTAACATTGATAATTAAATTGGTTCTAGATAATTTTATTAGAATTTAGGGTTTATTTGTAAATGCCGACAAATATCTTGTGAATTGCCATTATTTATCGAAATTAAAATAAAAGAAACCCTAATAATTAAAAATATACTGATATATACTAATTACTGAATATGAATTGTGATTGATGTATTTTATATCCTTATTAGAATGAATACGAAATTATATACGTTCACTAGCCTGATATCACCTGATTGTTCGTTCTGTAGTTTGTGCAAAATGGATAATTACATAAGGATGTAGAAGAAATACTTTTTTTTATATGCTTGCATTTAAAATATTTAACTGTAAAAAATGTTTCAACGTGGTTCAAATCATTGTAGGTTTCGTTTAGGACATCCAGTACATCACTAATAACATTCTATTTTTAGAAGCCCATCTATTTAATGGCTATCAGTAGGGAAATCGTTTTTTGAATAATGGATCTAATGAGCTTTTCCGAATTATACGCTGAAAGATCATTTTTCGTCTGAGTAAGTAGATATCAAAATTAAGTAGGTTAAATATTATGTCTAGCTTCCGTTCTAATAGCCTATAAATTATTTTAATACATGTATATTTTATCGTCGCGAAATAGTTTTAAAAACTGATAAGCATAAAAAGACAATTAATAAACAGATATGTAATGTGTTTGAAAAGTTAACACTGTTACTACATTTCCTTGTATAAAAAAAATAGCTAGACATTGATATCAATTTTAAAATGCCACTTAATTAATAGCAATTAAAGTAAGTTTAAAACCATAACTTGTTTAAATGGTATGCCTTCAGTTCATTAACTTAATAACAAAAAAAAAAAATGATTACAAGAGTTGCCTATGTACCATGTCGTAATAATACACTTTTGAATTCATGACCAGCTTTGTTTTTGGATACGATTTGTTACTGAAGCTAGCAGATTTTTAGTCTTCCGTCTCTAATTTGGCAACAAGGAACAATGCATCCAAGTTTGAGGCTATACCAGCAAACACTACGTCAAGTTATTCAACAACAGAACAAGATACTAAGAAACATCGTAGATATCCAGACAGGTTTTAGCATTTGCTTGTAGAAAAGGAATTTGTTATGGGTAGAGCTTTTTCTATCAGACATTACATTTGTTTGTATTTCATTTTAATTTCTCATTTTATTTTTGACGTTTACTCTTCAGTGGCGCCTAGTGTATGACTCTAGAATACCCATGTATTTAGCTGAATCATCAAACGTATCGTTTATTCTGAATTAATGTATTGCTTCCGTTTATTTGTAAAGTTGACGCGAAAGGATTTGTTCTTATTCAATTTGATGCGCCATTTTTTATGCCAGGCATTGATCTGGTTAATACATGTTTGTATTTTTTAGCAGCTTCTTCGTAGACTTTTTCTGTAGCCAGAATCGCAGTGTAGTAAGGAAAGTACGGGACCCAGTTCACTACCTAGTGGTATTTCTGCCTTGATTTACTTTAATTTAGAATATGCTTCTTCCTGTTCAATACATATATTTCTGTTAAATATTATTTCAATAGGTCTGAATATTGTCTTGAAAATAGTGTTTCCAGTTTGTGGAATTGTTCCTTATCTCATACTTTATTAAAAGCTTGCGTCCAGGAAGATTGCAGAGCAAATTTTGTTTTCTTCTGACGATTTTTTTAATATTATCTGTGATTTCCACTCGACCATTCACTGTTAGGTTCTAATTAACAGTGCTGTTCCTGAAGTAGCGCTGGGAAACAGTAACAAAGCATACACAGAACACATGATTGAGAATTTAAAACCACAAACTGAGTCTGGCATATTAGGTTTATACACCTAGGCCATGAAGCGAAAAAAAAATCTGTGATTCTGTGCACTTGCTCTATTGTAGAATGGTTTTCTATGGAGCCGAATTGATGAGAAGGAATTGAGTTCTCCTCCTATATTATTGGTTTCAATCATTTAACGTACACAATTGAAATGGTTGTAGTAAGTAGTGACTCTAATAAAGGCGATAACTAAAAAAGTAGTTTTATTATCTCTGGAGTTAGTTTTAGTGGGAGAACTAAATTGGAAATTAAGATTTTTCTGATTCCAATGAAAGCTCTTTGGAGCACAATTTTAAAAATGTTATATTACGTTCATTTGAGTTACGTTGTTGAAAAAAAAATTATTGCTGTCCCCAACTTATAAGGAGTAGATTAAACGAAAATTATCAACATTGTTTTTTCTTTTATATACAAAAGAAAGCTCTACTGTACTGGGACTTTGTATCAGCGTCTGACCTAAACCTATCAACATAATTATCAACTCTACTCATTTTAAAACAACTACAATACAGAACACTACGACTTGCACTTTCTTATCAAATTTTGCAGAAGTAAGTATTCTTAAGATATGTCTACTATAATAATATTGTCAGTCACATAATGTTTCTCCTCAATTGTCAATAAAATAAAACCCTCAGGTCGAAGATCGTTATATTCAGACAATTCCAGGTATGTGTCGGTAATGGAAAAACATTTTGTAGTTTACACGGTATTTTATGATTAAAACTCAAAATGTCCAATCGCATGCCAAAGAGCTTTATCAAAACTACAAATCTCGTAATGTTCTATACCCCAATCAGATATACTATTTTACTTCTGTACCGATTGAAAATAATAAATAATCTATTTATGCTTTTGAGACATGATTGACGATTATTGTTGGACTCACCCGAAGATAAGAGAGCCGGCCTCTTCTTCGGTAAACTTCCAAATCCGGAGCTACCACTGGCTATGGAACCCGCCAACGAACCGCTAGAAAATTCGTCTTGTCGTTGTTCGTTCCCAGGTTCCTCGACGTTCATCTGTTTGTGCTTCAAAGACGGCGACGGTCTAAAACAAGAGAGAAATATTTAATACAAAAAAATGTTACATTACCTTTCAGCGAGCTCCACACCAGAAGGCAGACTACATAAGTGGGTACTTTTAACGAGGATGTGGATTTGAAGATCCAATGACTCTAAAATGGGAGGCAATATAGAGGAAGTGACTGAAGGCTCCGAAGTTAAAATCGTTGTGTGTCTCCATCTAAGATCCTAGAAGAGGTTAAGTTTTAGTGAGCAGTGCGTAGGGACCAATCCCACACTGCTGGTAACAACCGTATCAAAAAAAACTAACACGATCATAATGACTTCCGTAATTTTCCATACACTTGGTTCGTGCTTTAGTAATAAAACGAATGCAAACAAAAATATAAATGCAGTAAAGAGCAAGCGGAAATTTTCATACTGGACTTTCAGACTAAAACATTAAAGTGAATTTTGAGAAAATTTTGAAAATTTAAGCAATTAAGTACCGTAGTTACATAAGGGAAGTCCTTTATAAAATGTCGAATAGCGATTAATTTAAAAATTTACGGCAATATTGGTTTTGAAAAAAAAAAAGCAAATTTCAAGGCGATTAAAACAATGTAATGATGTCAATATACTAAAATCAAAAACAAACAAGAGTTTCCATTTTAATTCACTCGATTAATTTCATTTCTCTTTTGAATTGAATAAAAGTATCAATATTGATTCTATTTGGAAATTAATTACATGTTTTGCCCATAACTTTCATTCCAATTACATGAAATCAGGGCCGTTTGTTTCATTTCTCACAACGAAGCGTTAAAATGTCGGGATATACGATGTGATTAATTTTTTACAATATCTATGCCTTTACAGCCTTTACTTCCGATATTTGATCATGCAATTATTATCTTTCAGTTCGTTAAGCCTACGGAGAGATTGTGCGATAGATCTGTTGACATTAAATGCTTAGCGTCAATACTATACTACGTCCAACTTATAGACAAGTAGCGTAAACAAAGTGTCCACCGCCTGATTAACTCAAAAACTTCCTGGATTAGTTGCATCCATCAACGAAAAACTACTTGACTAATCCATTCTTTAACAATTAAGCCCTTATTTATTGTAAATAATCACATCGTGTTTCATATCGGGCAGACAGAGCTGTCGCATCGGCTGCCGCATTAGAAAGAGCGAGATAGCTGTTAATTCGAGTGAGAATGAATCAGTTAAATACGGCTACGACGCTTGCTTTACATTGCTATCACCCTTCAAAATAAATTGCTTACTTTCCTAGAAATCGACGAGAAAAAAACAATATACTTCCTTAATGTAATTTTAAAAGTCTTTTTTGCGTTTTAGAGCCTTATGTTAAGTCAATTAAGAATTATAACCATAAACAATCCTTGTAAACTTTGCACAAAGAACTGGTTAATCAATTTAACCATATCCTACACAACCCAGAAGACATTCCATAATTTCTAACTTTGGGGTCGACACATATGCTCCCAAAAAGTTCCAAGAGGGAAATCTACTCACTACAGATTTAGTACGTGCCAGCCTACCTTATAGAAGATTCTTACAACATGTATCACCAACAGAATTTAGAGACACGTCGAGGAAAATAACACCGTAGCGGAGGAACAGAAAGACTGCAGAAGAGATCATCAAGGGTGCAAAGAACAACTTGTTGTGGACTCTGTGATCCTTAAACAAGTACAGAAAGATCACCGGAATATACACACAACAAAATCAACTCAACTATTGTCAATTTCCTTTCAACAATAATGAAAGGGTGACGAACAAACCTACATCTGCAGCTCGGTCCAATCTCCATCAGTACTGACGAAATATCTGTCCGTAGGGGAATCTACCAAGGTGATTCCTTAAGTCCGTTGTGGTTCTGCCTCGCAATGAATCCCCTCCTCTCCATCATGCTCAAATGATACGAAGTACGGTTTTAAAGTCAAAGCCAACAGAAACACTAACTACAATTTCCCACCTTCTTTGCATGCAAGATATTAAGCTATATGGAGCAAACCAGCTTCAAATCAATCATCTTCTAGATTTAACCCATAGATTCTCCAGTAATATTCATATGAAGTTTGGTCTGTCCAAACGTAAAACCTTCACACCGAAAAAGGCATTGTCATAGACAGAGATGTGCAATTACTAAACGTAGATATCATAAAGACAATGAAAAACGGGAAGTCCTAATACCTAGGATTCCAACAATCTAGTTTAATAAACCACAAGCAGGTGAAAGATAGAATCCAAGAGCAATACAAAAAAGAATAAAATGCAGGAAACTTATTGCAAACAATCAATACCTAACATCACACCATTTTTAATAAAATCTTTTGGAATCTTAAAAGGACAAAACCAAGGCTAAAAGCTATTCAGAGGCTGACACGAACAATGATGACAAAAAATAACAACCACGAACTCAACCAGCCCCTTATTGACGAGGAAGCTTCAAATAGATGGCTTACTAGCGGTACCCTCTTTCCAAAATCTGAGGGCTTTATGATCGCTATCCAATATCAGGTCATCAATTCCAATAACTGCAAGAAATTTGTCATTAAGGACGTCAATACCCAATCGGACAAATGCTAGAAGTTTCAACAAACATCAGAGACTATTCAGCATATAACATCTGGCTGTAGCGTGCTAGCTAATACTGACTACCTGCATAGACATATTCAAGTATGCAACATCGTCCACCAGAAACTGGCCAACAAATTCCGTCTGATTAACACATATACACCGTACTATAAATACCAGCCGCCGCAGAAGGTGCTTGAAAATGACAACTTTAGAGTCTATTACTATAGATCCATTAACAGACCAGACATTGTAGTATTGGATAGAAGAGTCAACTTAGTCGTCCTCGTTGACGTAGCGGTACCGAACAGCCACAACGCTTTCAGTAAATATCAGGAAAATATGGCTAAGTATGAAGATCTCGCTATTGAGATTAAGCAGATGTGGCATGGCAAAAGAGTGGAAATAGTCTTAATAATTATATCATCGTCCGGCGTAGTCCCAAGACCTTGCACGATAGCCTCTCCAAACTGGGACTAACAACACCTTATCTGATAACCAGAAGGCTGTTATACTGAATACCTGCCATACAGTACGAAATTTACCATGTGAACTAAGCCTAACCCCCTTGGTACTTCGTACCCGGGATAGGTAAATTATACCAGCTCGGGTATCTGTTCTTGAATCTCGGGGAGTAGAAATTTTGAGGGAAGAATAAGACAGAAATACAAATTTTACATTGCAGATAAGAAAAAAAAAGCCATAATAATGAACTTAGTAGCGTAAAAAGTCTAATAAATAATAATAGCCGTCCTCCTTGCACAAGCTCTTCAGACTTCAAGGGTTCGCTCATAAGGGGAGTGAATTATAGAGTATTATTACTTTCGCAATCTTAAAAAGCATAAATGTTGTTTTTAAAACGCCCCTGCTTGTTATACAGAACAATATTTACGTAAAATAAAGGCCGATTCAATTGGTTTAAAGATAGACATCGATTGTTAATGTCTTCATTGTCTTATTTCTTTGTTTACCGAAAGTACTTAACGCCTTTATTGTACTCGCAAGTATCTATATTTAAAGAATGATAAATATTTGCTATTCGTCACTTTATGTTTGTTAATTATTAAGGTAGGTACTTTCTAGAAAGAAATGTATTTTTTCTTCAATAGGATCAAAATATTCATATTGATTGATCACTCCGTGTAGAAAAATATCATTATCTTCATAGTAAAACAATATCCACATTTTGTTACCAATGCCATAACAATCTTCATTTATCAGAAACTCTCAAGTCACCTTTGGTAGCTGTGACAGTCAGTTGTCATGTACAAAAGTTTTTCTTAGTTTTTATCGCGTTAGGTGCGTAATTAATACAAGTTTGGAGTTATTAATTCTAATATAATAATTATACACCGTTGTTTTTTTTTTTTTGGCTTGGATTAGGAAAGATTAATAAAAAATTCTGTCCAAATAATACGGTATTAGCAAGGAGTAGAAATAACAAGAGAGGAAAGTCAGAGAGAGAGAGAGAGAGAGAGAGAGAGAGAGAGAGAGAGAGAGAGAGAGAGAGAGAAAAGTCTTGAAACAAAATCGGTAAAATATGAAGAATCCATCTACGTCTGTGAATGATAATGAAAATATTAACCAAATTTTGTTAGACTATTATGAAAATCCTAGAGTACTGTGGATCTCTTAAAGAAAGAAGATTTTATTAAAGCAACGAACAAAAAAGTAAACGGTTAAATAAAATAAGAGTTGGGACAAAATCATTTATTTCAATAGAATGTACAGTTAGAAAAATTTTGAAACAAGTGTAGCAAGTACGATACTGCACAAAAAATATATACTGAACAATGTTAAACTACTTCACGCAAACCTTTCAAATCAAATTAAAAGTAGACAGACTAAATATAATACTGTGGTAATGATGGTCATCTCTGTACGTTTTAAAATAAACCGATACATTCAAGCAAATGTTTTTTTTTTCCTTCTTTTTTTTTATTTTCGAAGTTTCTCTATTAAAATAGCTGAGGGTTTAAAACGGACAAGAATTTACGGCTGGGAATCTACATCTAAGCAATTCCTTGGAGATACCCCGTTTCCCTGAATTCCAATAAACTGTGAAATAGCGGTTGCGAGGATGATTCAACCGAAACCTATTTTCGGTTCTTTTTTTTTAAATTTAGCTTCTAATATTTTCCTCCAGAGAAAAGTTTATTATAATATAATACGAATAAGGTAAGTGATATGTTTCACGAGTGATAAAAATTATTTTCGAAAGTGATGTAATTTTTTTTCTACGATCCTAAGACAATTTTAACAAGCAAGTGTAGATTCTGAAGATGGGGGTTCAATTTAGAAGCTGCCTGTTCTAGGTTTGGTTTTTATTTTTTGCCTTATGGTAAGAGTTTTCAATAATTTAAGTGCTTGGATGGTGAAGTTGAAAATAAAAACATTGCTATTCCATTTTTTAGAACTTTTAAAGAAAAAAAATTGTAG